GCGCGAAGGAACAGCAGAAATTGCATTTTGAAGGCGAGAGCGTATCACATCAAGTTCAACAAATAGACCTATCCAACTCGTACGCACATCCCTTCCGTCATAATACCCGAGATCATAAAGTTATCTAACAGTCCAGTCCGTTCATCGTGCCAAACATTACTTCCCGTCACCATATCGTATCACCGCATCTTACGAGTCGAGGGGGCTATGGCCAAGAATCTGGTTAGCTTCTTGCATCGCCCTCGAAGACAAGTATCACTTACACCGCGGGGATGGTGGTCTCAGGACCTGATAGATCACAAGAACGTCCCGTCAGCGCGCATGCTCCGCCAAACACGCTGCAAGGAACTCACCAGGCTGAGCGGAGAGCGTGGGGAACGGCGTGGACGCGCACGCGGCCTCGATGTCGACCATCGTCTTGCCCGCGGGGAGGAAGGGGTCCGCGACCGTGCCGGTCGCGATCGGGATGACGTCCGAGCAGTCCGTGAGCGTCGTCTTGTCGAACCCGAGCAGGGACAGCTTTAGCACGGTCTGCTCGAACTTCTGAAGCATGTTCGCGCGGTCGGCTGTAGGGGAAAGGTCAGCCCGGCGGCGATGACGGACAGATGTGTGAGCAATTACGTACCGATCATCTTCTGCCACTCGCACGACGTGCGGGAGTCCCTAGGCGGCGAAGTCAGCGTGCGCATTCCCTTCTCCATGCCCTGAAGAGGCACGGTGAGGACGGAGAACAACTCACCGGCCGATGAGGAAGTCGGACTGGAGACGGAACTCGCCGGGGAGGGGCGACTGCACTTCACCATCGTGGAGGGCGCTGCCGGGGGTGATGGTGCCGTTGAGCATCGACTCGACGAAGAACTGGGCGTCGAAGTCGCTCGGGGTGGAGTCGAAGGGCGTGCCGGGGATGGACTGCGTTCAGTCAAACACGTCAGCGCCGGCACAAGATCGTTGATCACACCTGTCCCACTCCGACGTCCGCAGGACGCGAAGCATGCGGGGATGCCAGTGGGGCCTCGAGGTGGAGAAAAGCGGACTTACGTCGTCAACCTTATCCTGGGCCGCGACGGTGTGCGAGATCAGCATCCAGACGAGCTCGACGGGCGCGAAGCCCGCGTCGGCGACACGCGCGAGGATGTCGGTGACCGAGTCGCTCGGGAGCGGCACGAGCTTGTCGGGCGCGGGCTGCGAGTCGTTCGACCGCCCAGCGAAGAAGCCAATCTGCGGGCCACCGTTGCAGTTGGCCACACCGACCGCTCCCGCGAACTGGATGCTGTTAGGGCGCCATTAGAACCTGATGCGCCGATGCACCCATTTGAGCGCCAGATGCGCAGGGCACTTACAAGTCGCCGAAGGACACGTTGTGCTTGAGCGCGAAGGGGCGCTGCTCCTCGATGATCTCGTCGAGACCGTTGTTGGCGGCGAACTGGATCTCGACGTCGGTGTGGGCCATGATCGAGCCGTCTGGAAGATGATTAATTGATGCCCGCCGGCAGTGTTGCTTCGGAGAACTTACCAGCACCTCCGCCGCTGTGGAAGTCATCAGTATTGAGTTATTTCTGTCGAGGATGCACGGAAGAAAGTGAACGCACCCGAACTGTCCTGCAGCCGTCAACGCAGGGGAGAAGGCGATGGCGTCGTGGAAGATGAGCTACATGGTGGTTGATCAGCGGCTAAAGATGTCGAGGCTTCCAATATAGTTACCCGGAGGGATTCGTGGGCGTTCTCGCCACACTCGCCGCCGTGGAAGCTGCGAACATCGGATGAGTGACCGGCCACAACATCCAGAGTACTGAGTGTGACCTACAGGTTGGTCTGAATGTCGTCGAGGACATCGAACCACACGCAGCACTGTAAAAATTGTCAGTATAACGTTGCGTAGGATCGACACCAGCATGCTACTTACCGCATCGTTAGCAGTAGTCTGACCGCCGCTGCAGGTAGCCCGCTTGCTGGTGGACGGGACAGCAGCAGTGAAGGACGCAGCGAGAGCGACGATGGAGAGGAGGGCCTTGGAGAACATGATGAAGGTCGTCGAATGTAAGCGTGCTGAAGCGGTCCCGAGTGCTGTCCTACGAGTCGTCGACGGGTGTCGTTTGTTGGTGAAGGCCTCCTCTTCCCCGCAGGGTCTTTATACTGTTCCGTGCTGCATGCTGATCAACAGTCGGCCGGTGCATGCAAGGCGGGCTAAGCCCGCATCCGGACCAAAGCCGCAGAGCGTGTGTTGCATACCGCACCGCCGGACGCGCGGGCGCGCCATCTCCATCCTCGCGGCCCCGCCCACCTGGGCCTCGGACGGTGCGAGCGCACCCGACGCGGCACGCCCTCGAGTGACCGCCGACCCAGCGGAGCGGACACGCCCAATCGCAGCGCGCTGATTTCTGTATTTGTTGTACCGTCTTTGCGGGTTGTGTGGTATAGAGTGTGCGCTTGCCGAGCTGTGCAAACCGGTACCGCCGCGCGACAGGCGTGGTATGTTCTGCTAGGAACCCGGGCGTATTTGGCAGATCCGTTCTCGCGAAGGTGTCTTTGCCCGCCGCGCTGTGGCCCGCAAAGGAGAACGCTGGCCTTCGTCGCTGTCTCCGACCAGGAACGCGCCAGGAACATTCGTGAGAGTGCCCGCTTTGCAGGGCGCGGAAGGCGTCGGAAGAGGCGCGTCGCGCCCTTCATTCGGCACCGGCATGGACGGCGTGTCTGCGATGCCTCTTGCGCGGTGTGGTAATAGATGCTTCTACCTGAATGTTTTATGTGAATATGCGAATACTCGGAGCAGACTTGGTGAGAGTCATGAATCACCCGCCTCATACGGTTTGACAAAACGAACGCATGATCGCTCACCGACGGGAGGGACGCGTCGACCGCACGCGGTATCGCTGATAGAGCGGCCGACCTAGACGCTCTGGCGACGAGCCCGACCATCACGATGGCGATGACCAGCGGTGTCACGAATGAACGACCACGAGGATTTACCACCGAACTGGAGGCGGGCGACTCGTTTCATGAAGGCGGCAACAGAGACCGCAGTTGTCGCAAGAGGCGTTGCAAGTCGTCGCTCGCCGTCGCGCCGCGCACTCCTGTCTGATGGTCGACTTGAAGAGAGCCGCCGCAGGACGGAGACCGGGTGGATGAGAAGCGCGCGATGTCTCCGATGTGCGGAGCCTTCTTAGATTCTTACGACAAGCCCTGTCTGAATGTCGCCCCTGGGCGCTGCGTTTTCGAATGGTCGAGTACAAGAACACCTTTTACAATATCCCAGAGTGAGAACGGGGACTCGCTGTCGGCGTGATGGTGCTGGCGGCGAACTTGGAGCGGCCGAGAAAGAGACACTGATAGAGCAGACGTGAAGCGGTGTAGCGTGAGAGGCGCGTTCCACTAAACTGTCAGTGCCGTTCATGAGAACCTCGTGCAGCATGCTACGCGGTTGAGAAGGAGTGATAGACAGCGCAGCGCTCGCCGACGGAGTTGAGGTGACGAATGCCTCATCCGGACGAGAGTGAGTCCTGGCGCTTACATGTTCCGGGCCGCATTCGGCGAAACGTTCCTGAGGCCAACCTCCTCCGAGACTCTCCTCATCCGTGCCGCCATGTCCTTGAGTAGATATTGCCAAAGCAAGAGACAAACGCTTTTGCGTAACGCTGAACGTCTGAAGCGACGTCCACGTCAATTCAGGAGTTTTCCTAATGGCGAACGGCGGCTGTGACATGGCAAAATTAATCGCACAGTACGTACTAAACGATTCAAGCCTACATAGCTGCCTCGAGCTCCAGTCCTGCTGATCTTATTCATCCTATATTGGAGGGCAGTGCGAATAATACTTACTTCGATATCCTGAGCTCCAGGTTGGCCACTCAGGAACGCCACCTTAAACTTCAAGCGTTCATCTGTCTGGACGCGCTGCGGCCCTCTGCACTCTGTCACCGGGTCGGACCACTGTGGCCTGGGGCCTCGAAAACAATGGAGAAGTTCTGCTGAGGTATGTGGCGGCTGCGAATGCGTTCTCATGTCAGTTGTGCTGTAGGTAATCGCGCGGCAATCCGTACATGTCCGCGGCATGCGTATTCTCCAGGTCGCATTCGTTGGGGCAACGGGCGTTCGCTGAACAGAGAACAGGCACTATCAAATGGGAAGTGACTCGAGCACCTTAATTCAGACGACTGTATGCGGCCTGAGTGTTATCGCCGTTCGGTACCTCGGCGTCGCGCACATAAGTCTTGGACGCCCTCCGTACTATGTGCGCCCCTAGATGGCCCGAATGGGACAACTCAGGTCGGTCTCTACACGCGGCGGCTCGATGTATCGGAAGTTTACTGAATGATTACTGTCTTAGCCCCATGCACAGCGCTATAGAACTTCTGCTCTCCCAAGGTGCATGCCCGCGCCGTGTCAACTCTCCTACGGTCCCTCTGGACTGCGTATGTTCGCGCGCGTTCTGCGGTTCGATACCCCTGCGGACCTCAACACATACATCGCTACCACACCGGCACCTGAGTCGAGTCCGGAGCTATCCCCCGGTGTCGATGCTCAATTCTAGGGCCGACGAGGGACTACATCGCGAATGCGCCCGTACGGCATCGCGCTCGACAGGCCGGCTGGCGTGAACATTGTGGAGGACTTCGTATTGAACGGCGACGAGCATCGGCCCCGACATCTTTCGCCGGAGCCTCGACCTCAGCGAGCCGGTGAGTCGGGTTATCGGATGCAAGGTCGGTGGCACGCCGTATGTTGATTTCGCCATGTGTCGACCCTAGCACGCGCCTTTGAACGCGATGAGTTACTTGTATCTGCACTGGAAACATCCGCGATTACGATACAGTATCCTTCCCGGGCGTGCGACGTCCAACTGCTGTTTCTGTGGCCTTTGGGCGGGTACGAGTATCAGCCGCGTCTATCATTACTTATATGTATATGACGGATCTCTTCGTAAATGTCTACTCGCAGTCAACAGGTTGCTTAGGCCTGATATTACGTAGACTGTACAAAAACATGGGTGGACAAACAATACATGAACCTTGCCCGGATTGAACGGACGACCTTGAGGATCTCCCAAGAATCGGAGTAAAGCCGAACTCTGGAATCTCACGCGCTACCACTGTGCCAAAGGTTCATTAGGAGTTACATCTCGTTGCTATTCTGATGCTGAGGGCGTGTGATATCCCAAGATTTCCCATTCTGTAGTCGGAGGACGAAAGGAAAGGAATTCCGGCCAGCCTTCTCCCGTCAAACACATCTGTTCGTGCTCGACCAGGTCCAAAGCCACCCGTGCTCGTCTTGAGCTACTGCGCGCCAGATCTACACACTGGGGCAGGGAGCCCGGAGATGACGGTGGATGCGCGCGCACCCGCACCGCCCGCGGACGATCTGCTGCGCCTCCATGGGGAAGCGGGGTCGGATGCACCGTGAAGGGCCTGAGAAGGCCGTGGTTTGACAGAGAGATGCATTACGGGGAGGAACCATGTGCTCGAGAGAAGAGCGCGCAGGATGGCGGGTTTTGGAAGGCGAGTGGGCGAATGTCGCGTTGACGCATCTCGCTCGCCGTCGTCGTGGCGGCGAATGCGCCCGTGCTCCGTGCAGCAATGGGAGATATATTGCTGTTCACGGGGATACGCGGCGAGTACAACTCTATTCTGTTCAGAGTGCCGAGGAGAGGTAACGACTCACCTGGACGCCGGCACGACTGATGTGAGCCGGCGAGCAATGGAGAAGCGTTGACAACGACAGCTTGAGGCGCGAGATGGAGGCGTTGCATGACCGGGCAAATTCCTAGTAATCGGCCACCTTCGCAATTCGCGAGTCCTGACTTGCTCGTCGTTGTCTTGGCCGCAGCTGTATTCCTACGATGTCGTAAAAGACGCTGAAGACGTCCTGGGCCTGGGCGCATGCGGCACATTTGTGACGCGACTTGTTATGTGGAATGTGGCAAGTAATCAGGAAGGAGGGACGCACGAACAACGTTGAAAACCACGGGATCCCTTGATGCACAAGGAGCGCAGATGTAGACAGGCGCGCGACGCCGGCTGGGACAAGAATACATCAAGAGTTCCTCGCAAAGCCGTACCGTGAGGAACGCTTTCTGCTTTACTCATCCCCATCTCCCGGCCGTATGAATCTCGATGGACGTGTATCGTCGAGGTGATTGGCACGAGTGGTATCGCACAGACAGCGACTATTGGGCCTGGGGCCTGGTACACAGATGCAGCGCGATCTGGTAGACGAGCATTAGCATCAACAGTGGCCAAGAGAACACCGACCTGCAACGCTTGCGGAGACAAGCGCACTCGAGGTCGCCCTTCCACCACACCTCAACTGGCGCACGGAAGAGAATGTTCTTTTCCCTGACGCCATAATCCAGCAACACGGGCATTACCTTCTTTCTTCACTCTGTCCTAGCGGCTATAGAAGAGGCCTCTATCACGTCTTGTAGCAGAAGCCATACTGCTCGCGAGCCCACTGTCCAGACACAACATAGTCAGTACCCTCGAAATCTGCCGACGAAGGTCAAAGTGTGAGTACACAATGCACGTTTCCCTCGGTCGATCACCCTTTCAAGGTCACCGGGAGCCGACAGAACAAAGGGAACTCCGACTAACGGAGGGAAGGCGGCGTCCAGAGCTTCCCGAGCCCTTCACTGCTGATACGTGCGCAGGAGGCGTGGAATGAGGGCGGCAACGTGCGCGCGAAGTAGCGAGGATCATCGCTTTGTGGATGCATAGACGCGAGGCACTGCAGCAGGAGCACGACAGAGCGACTGAGCACGGTGCGCTGACGACGAGAATGAGGACGAGAGCGATGTCGTTGCCGATGATGAGCGATGTGGTCAGACAGTCGTCGGACGACGCGAGAGGCAGTCGGGACGCGGCCCCGAGACGCGCCGCTACAGGGAGGATGACGTCGGGTTGAAGGGCGCGCGTCAACCAATCAGAGGGCCCGAACGGTCTCGACCACATGCCGCAGCGCGTGCCGCGGCGCTGCCCGGAGCCCCGCCTTCATAAGTACGCAGCTGCAGCGCCGCTCGCTATCTCCCCGACCACCATCTCCTCCTCCCCTTTCATCCTCTACCCACACATTCATGTGAGCACGGCCCCCTTCCGTCTCGCCGAGATGGATCCTGATCTATCGGCCTTATAGCATGCAGATCTTCGTGAAGACCCTCACCGGCAAGACCATCACGCTCGAGGTCGAGTCCTCGGATACCATTGACAACGTCAAGGCCAAGATCCAGGACAAGGAGGGGTGCGTCTCAAATCTGCTAGCCGTACTTGAAGCGTCGCTGACATCCGCTCAGCATCCCTCCGGACCAGCAGCGTCTTATCTTCGCCGGGAAGCAGCTCGAGGACGGGCGCACGCTCTCTGACTACAACATTCAGAAGGAGTCCACCCTGCACCTTGGTGAGTCCATGCGCATGCCTCGAGCCCCTTCACCGAGTCTAACGTTGCATAGTCCTCCGTCTTCGCGGCGGTATGCAGATCTTTGTCAAGACCTTGACCGGCAAGACCATCACCCTTGAGGTCGAGTCGTCCGACACCATCGACAATGTCAAGGCGAAGATCCAGGACAAGGAGGGCATTCCCCCGGACCAGCAGCGTCTCATCTTCGCTGGAAAGCAGCTTGAGGATGGTCGCACCTTGTCCGACTACAACATCCAGAAGGAGTCGACCCTTCACCTTGGTGAGTATATGCGCCACTTACGTATCTGGTTCGCGCTGACAAATTGCGTTCAGTCCTGCGCCTTCGTGGTGGTATGCAGATCTTCGTCAAGACCCTGACGGGTAAGACGATCACCCTCGAGGTCGAGTCGTCCGACACCATCGACAACGTCAAGGCGAAGATTCAGGACAAGGAGGGTATCCCTCCGGATCAGCAGCGCCTGATCTTCGCGGGCAAGCAGCTCGAGGACGGCCGCACTCTTTCGGACTACAACATCCAGAAGGAGTCGACCCTCCACCTCGTGCTCCGTCTGCGTGGCGGCATGCAGATCTTCGTCAAGACGCTGACGGGCAAGACGATCACGCTGGAGGTTGAGTCCTCGGACACGATCGACAACGTGAAGGCGAAGATCCAGGACAAGGAGGGGATCCCGCCCGACCAGCAGCGCCTGATCTTCGCCGGCAAGCAGTTGGAGGACGGCCGCACGCTCTCGGACTACAACATCCAGAAGGAGAGCACGCTCCACCTTGTCCTGCGTCTCCGCGGTGGCCTCTGAGCGTTGCGTTTCCTCGGTTGATCGGTCTTCGCTGCGTCGTCGTCGTCGGTGATTGTTGTATCATGGTGGATGTGGATGTATCATTGTACGGATAATGTCATGTCGTTTGGATGGTGAACATACGTGCGTGTTCTTGCTCATCTAAGTGCACCATCAACTGCGGTGCACGAACGTTCTCAGAGGCATCTCCGCACCCATATATGAGCCCGAATCCGCCCGTGACCAGGCCTATTGGCCTTACCGCAGGTATGGTTCGACACCGGGTAGTCCGCGGCCACCATGATCGTCGACTCCACGTCGAATTCTGTGATCGTAAGTGTTCTATGCATATGTGCCTCTTTGGACGTCGAGACTCACCCCCCTTGCACGTAGATCGACTTCACGTGAGCTTCCTCGCAGATCCGTCGCGAACGAGCCAGGATGCAGCACATGGAGCCTCGATGCCCGGCTTGCAGTGCCACTTTTGCAGACGTTCGACGTGCATACCGGTACAAATCGGTTCACGATCGAGTCGGAGAAGCGCTGCGCTGGAAAAGAGCGTTCTCGCCGCGTCACAGCACGACTGTGCAGAGCACCCTCGGCCGATGGAGTCTACAGCGTGGATCGGGTCTGGTGGTACGGAACCATTCGCGGACTGCCTCGGGGACGCGTGTTCGAACTGGAATACTGCTAGTGCGCTTGAAGGCGTACCGCGGCGAGCTGTGCACGGTGCTACCTTCGACTCTTCATCAACTAACAAGGTAAGCAGCCGTCGACGTGTGGTATACATCGCGCTCGGGCTGAAGTATGTCGTCCTAGGACTGCCCAGGAGACTATTAGCGTAATTCTGATATCGCCACGACGTCGAACGCTGTCAGCACCGACAAGGCCGTATATAGAGAAAACCTTCGCGAGTCCTTCGCGTTGATACATGCGCAGAAGGCCAGGACAACGTGCGCGCGAAGTAGCGAGGATCATCACTTTGAGGACACAGGTGCGAGGGCACTGCCTAAAAGGTTTTTCCTCGACCGATGCCTTGATCGCTTACCACGTTACATCCTCCAGCAGCTTTCGTCGCTGCCGCTGCGCCAAGCCCTGCAGTGACATTTATCCGTCATTGAACCTAGCTTTACTCGACCAGGCCGTGCCCCTACCTGCTACAGTGTGTGCGGCGGCGTCGGCCGGAGCCTCACCTTCATAAGGACGCTGCCCGCTGCCCGCTGTCTCCCCAACCACCATTTTCCTCCGCCTGTCATTCGGTAGCGCGACACTCATATAAGCACCGTCCCTTCGTCCTGCTGAAGCTAATATTTACCCTTCGGCGTTCAGCATGCGGATATCCGTCGTGAAGAACCCGACGGCCGGCCAAACCATCACGCTCGAGGTGGCGTCGTCCGACACTATCGAAGATGTGAACGTGGTGATTCAGGTCAAGGAGGTCGCTCCCCCAGCCCAACAGCGTCTCATCTTTTCTTGCAAACAGTTTGACCATAGCCGCGCCGTGCCCGAGCACAACATCCGTAAGGAGTCGACAATGTACATAAGTCCGCATTATCACCACTTGTGCATTCGCGGGGCCATGCTGACAAGCTGCCTAGTGTTCCGCGTCCTTGACAGCATGCAAATATTCGTCAAGACCCTCATGGGTCAGACGATCCCCTTGGAGGTCAAGCCATCGGACACGATCGGCAGCGTGAAGGCGAAGATCCAGGACAAGGAGGCGATCCCGTCCGACCAACAGCGTCTCATCTTCGCCAACAAGCCGCTGGAGGACGGCCGCACGCTCTCGGATTACAACATCCAGAAGGAGAGCACGCTCCACCTCGTCATGCTTCTCCGCGGTTGAGCGTTGCGCGTCGCTGGTTGATCAGTCCTCGCTACCTCGTCGTTCGTGATTGTTGTATTACTAGACGTCGGGCCTATA